TCTAATTTTTTTTTGCCCTTAATTCATTCATAATATTATTCATAATAAGCATATCACGTATCTGCCAATTTGGTAGGATCTTCTGCCTAATTTATTATGTACACAGCCATAATTAACCATTTAAATATTTTGGAAGTATTTAAATAAGAAAACAATTCATGTATTTGAACACACATTCTGACGAATATTTTTCTAAACACACATAGCGGTGGTCTTGAATTGATTTAAAGTATTTGATAAATCCTTGCCGGCGAAAGGAAGCAAACTGACAAAGGGAGATAAATGTATCCAGTGTAGTGGAATTAGCATCAACTTAAGTTTTCAAGTATCTTAGACTGAAAAGAGTAGAGGAGAGGACAATGCTCATTCAGATGCGTGCATGCATATTAACACGTTCGCGTGCATAAATTAATCTTTCAACGCTATTTAAGCAGACTGAATGTGACTCGATGGCGGCAAAACGAGTCAATGCAGCTACTTGAGATACTCGTAGAAGTGGAGCGGCATCGATAAGCCCGCACCGAAGGATGTTGAATAAAATTAAGCAATACTGAATGAGGCAATAGTTCGGCAGTCAAGCAAACAGGAAGTATGTTTTGACAGCTGTTGTTTGTCAAGGAACATACACAGATGTGTGCGTGAACACGCAATAATTACTGCCAGCAGCAAATTCTAAGCAAAGTATGTAAACATAACCCTTGGAGGAGGCAAATTTGAAATTCGTTCATATTCCGGATTTGGCGTTAGAGTCAAATTAATATGCAATAATGCGGCATGTTTGCAATTCCATCGACAATAACTTATGTTGTAGCAATTCTCGGAACGTATCCTTTTGTAAAATTTGTAAATTTCGACAAAGCCCTCTTATGTTGTTTAAGTAATGCGAATAATTAGTAATTTACTAGTATATTTAAGATCAGCTTTATATGTATAGAATATTTGGGTAAAAATTTAGTTGGTTAAAGTTTAAATTTTTGTTAATGTTATTGATATAAAATTAATGAAATGACCGAAAACTAGAAAAAATATGTGAACATATCACATATAAACCAACACAAATTTTTTGTAGCAATACTATTACGATGATGATTAAATACCTACTATCTATTTCCATGGTTAGGATAGGTTGTACTGACGATCCAAAGGGCTCCACTTTCGCCTATAGACGCATTGTGTTATTGTACAAGGAAAAACGCAGAGGTTTAAAACCAACTTGAATCTTTGATAAAACTTTTAACACTATTTAAGAGAAAGTTTTCAGTGTTAAGGCGGCTAAGTCGTTATGCTGGATAAAAACAAAGTTGATGGGAACTTTAATCGTCCTCTCCACAACTGCGACGGGTGATATTTCTACTGTTAGTGAAAGTAATCTTATTATATATAATATTTTAAGTACTATTTGGTAACGAAATAGTGTTACAAAATATGTTTTGAAGTAAATTGAGTATGGTTTGTTAACCTCCTTCAAATTTAACCCAATCCGAGGAAGACTATTTCAAAATGCTCACAGAAAACATTGGACAGTTATCTTAATTGGATGAAGTTTGGTATTCTTACAAAGCAACTTCCTCAATTTCCAATATCATAGAAAGCTATGCTACAGAATTTTGGCATTATAAAACAATTCAACACAAAACTAAGTTGTAACAACAATTAGGATAGTCTGTCAAGAACTTAGAAAATAAATTACAATAGAATAGCATGATATAAGAACCTATTAGAGCATATTAAAAAGCGGAAAACCAAAGAAAACTGTACTATGACAATCCATGATATAATAGTTGTATGAAATGATTCGAAAACAACTCAAGAATCATTCCAGAAGTTCTGAGGTGGCATTGTTGGTCACTTTAAAAAAGTTGGAACTAACTCAATGAATGAACTATCAAATAACGGGTAAATTACTCTAATGGAGGAGGATGTTGAGAGAATACTTGATACTAATGCATTAAGTGGGTACCCCTCAGAACATCTAGTTTTTCTTATTGATAAACAACTGTGTCTCTGTTCAGATGTGTAAATTTAAATTCTTTGTAAATTCTGTGTAAATTTAAATTCTTTTTTCTTATTTATTTTGATTGTTTACATCTGTTTTAATAAAGCAAACTAAATATTTAATATAAACTATTGTTTTCAATATAGGGGTTTTTATCGAACAGTAATGATACAGCAGCAACAAAATTTTTTTTATTATTTTAATTTAATTTTGTTTGTTTTGAGTATTATCAAATACCCATCATAAGTGATTTCGGAATTATTTCTTATATATAATTATTCGTACATAATTTTTTGAGACTGAAAGCTTTAGGTATTTTATTATCTCATAAAACAATTTCATCCCATATCTATGGATATGCTTCATGATTATTCATGTTCATGTTACATATTTTTATGCGATTATATACTTTTTCTAATTTTTTGACTTTACATATATAAGCGTGTAAGTTTTAAGACTAAAAAAATTCAATATGCTTCTTGAACACTTTTATATAATACAAAATTTTTGTTTGATATTATCAAAAATAAAAAATTTGTAATCATTCATTGAAAATGCTTTTACCCTCTGCAACTTCATACACATTATTTTGTACAGAGTTAATAATTCTTTCCAAGATTCGATAAGTTGATATGAGATTATTTTAAATTTCCTCGAATAATTTAATGACATTTAATTTTAAATATATTTATGACTTTTAATAACCTTCGACAGTACTTAGGAGGGTACCACTTCTTCAAACTGGCACTGTGATAATATCAATAAAATTTTATTCTTCTTCAAGATTAAAGTCCTTTGAATTTATGACAATTTCCATAACGCAACGATATCATATTCATACCAACTAATGCTGATAAGTTAAAATTAAATAAAAAAAACGGAAATTTTTTATATTTTAATCTCAAAAATATCATAACCTAAAAATAAAATTTAATTTACCAAGACAAGAAAAAAAGTAAGTCACACAGGCACACCAACTCACCTATCTGAGAGCTGGTACATGCAAACAAAATAAGACAGGTGTGCACATATATGAGGAATACACACAGCGCGCAGCACACACGGTACACAACGCACACAAGGCAAATAACACATCACGTCAATACACTTAAGAAACCGAGTCAACATCACCGCAAGCAACATTAATGCCACCCAGGAAGGGAATCCTGCGAGGGGATTTCATAAGCCACACGGAGACACAAGTAATTTGATTGTAAGTGAATCAGTCGTAACAAAAGATGAAGAAGCAGCAACATTAGTATCAGTTGTGCTGACAGGATCTCACTTATACGAACATACATGCAAACATGTATACTAATACGAATACTATATAGGTATATCAGCAAGGACATTCACAGTTAAGAGTGTAGAACTACTGAAGCAGATAAAGGATGGTGTAATAGGGAAAAGTAGGGTAAAGTGAAAGAAAAGGTTGTCGTTGAACAGCAGTTGTTGCTGTTATGAAATTTGGTACAGAAAGTTCTGATATGTGCGATTTTCCAACGGGTCGGAATCATTTACAATCGTTGTCTGGTGGGCGTTTTTAATTAATCACAATATATGCATGCGGTTCTCGAAAGGTAATAGGAAATGAAACGTAATGAAAAAGAAAATAAAAACGGATTAAATTGGTTTAAGATATGAAAACGTAGTGTATTTTACTATCAAAATTAAATGCTTTTATAGAAGTGACTCTGATGTTACTAATTATGATTTAGACTTTTTGAAAATAATATCATTTATATTATAAAATCTACATACTTTGAATAACTTTTCCATACACTTTTGGTTGACTTTTAGACTGAAACGGAATGTTAGACCTGCCATTCTGATTTCGTAAAGATTATCCGGTAAACAAACCTTGATTACTTATTCAGAGGCCCTCAAAATAATTTACAATTAATTTTATTATTTATTGTATTCTATATATATATATATATATATATATATATATAGGTTGTCGTATATATATATATTTGTCGTATACATAGATATATATATAATTTGTAATGTCATGTTATTAGTTTTAAAGATTCTAAAACTTATTGTTACTCTTTAAATAAAAGTGATTTATTAAAGATATAATATATAATATATATATTGATATATATATATATAAAAGACAATATTAAATAAAAAACACCCAAAAAAAAAACTTTTGGTCTACTAAAAATCAATCGTCCTTTTGGCTAAAACAATGTTTCATTGAATAGTACTGTGCCCTGGTGATAGGTTTCGCGAAGAATCTACCATTAGGGTAGATTTTGTTAGTTTTCGCCAGAACTCCTCAAACACATAAAAGAATAATAAACAGTGTCCAATTGTGCAATGAAAACATCAACACATAATTATAAAAATAATATCAAGTATTGTTTATTGCAACCACAAAAAGCAGTACACTGAAATTCTCTCACACTCTATTTGATTTTGGTTTGCTTTGAATAGGTTAGGTTAGGTTGAAGTGGGGGCAAATAATGACCTGTTATAGTACACAGGTAGGCGTTTGCTCATACATAGACTAGAGCTCAGCATACAAGTAATGCCGAAAGGAAATAATTTCTCCATTAGGTAAGGATAAACCGACAATTATATGAACTTGGATACGTCCCTAGACTTACTATGTGGTATATTGAAAATTATCTTAAAGTGAAGGACTATATAAACTATTGTATTATCATGTTTGTATGTATATATATAATTTGTTATAAGAGTAACAAGATATATAAACAATAGGGGACTCTATGTTATTGTTCTGTACTTTAAATGAAGATGTACTGTATCTGAAATTATTAGTTTACAAAGAAAGTATTTAAAAGATGAGTATGATTTGTTAAAAATGAGTCCATGTGCTATTTATATTGTGAGGTTTAGAAATATTGTTACTAATTTATTTGTGTTTTTTCATGTTTGATAATTGTAGGAATAGATATATGATTTCAACAAAATATATTTATTTTTTACATATTAATAATTTTTAATGATATTATGATATAATGATATTAATTTATTTGACTTCAAAAGAAATTTATGTTTCATAAGATAAGATCATATTGTACTTCAAATATATATATTGTGACTGTAATCAGGTACACATATACGTCATGAACTAAATATTATGCCATTGCTCTATACGTTATTTTCCCCTCTGTGCTTTTCCTGCAATTTCTGTGCATTCTTAAGAATGGAAAATATGAATTTATATTGATATACTAAAAAAATAATAGTCTTGTTATACTACAGAACAGTTAAAGGATATAAAAATGCAGTTTTAAATACCTTCAACTTACGGACGATATATTCATATTACATTCCATAATCAGTCACACTGGCAATATTCCTGAAAATGGATTATTCATTAAATATCGTTAAATCTCTTTAAAGTTTACAAACCTCGGTTTTATAATTCATTTTTTCTAAAGGTGACATCTTAAACCAACGACGGGTTGCTACTTTAATTAATGTTTTTGGAGATAAACCCATGTTTGTCTCTCTAAATTTACGCATGAAGTTTGCGAAAGGAGAGAATATCTTTTTCTCCTTCGTGTCTTTCTTGTCATTTTTTTCTTTTTTTTCTTTTTTTATTTCTGAATGACTAAGTTTACATCTGCATTTACGTCGACGTTTACATTTGCGAGGCTTGGGACGACATCCACGAGACTATTTTGCAATTAGATTATTAAAAAATTTTTTTTTTAATTCAAAAATTATATTAATTACCACATATCTATTTCTTTCACATTTGGACATACATTTCCATTTCCATGTAGCTTTCATAAACGTTTCAGAAGCTGACATACCACAACGTTGTCTTCTAAATTCTCTAAGAAATTTTTGAAATCCTTTGTCTCTTTTGCAGCATCCGTCTTGGCTTTCTGTACCATGTTTTTGTTCTTTATTTTTTTTGGGACATGCTTTGTCTTCTTCTTTTTTATTACATTGACAGTATTTCATGGTAGAACCAACATGCAGAGATTTGTCATGGGTGTTGATTAAGTTCATATATATCTTTATATATATATGTATATCTATATATATATCTTTATATATATCTATATATATACGGATCAGAACAAATATACCATAAGTGCAATATATTTCTGAAATATATATCGAAATGCTGTGAGTAATAAATACTGTTTTAAAATTTAGTGGCCAAAAAGATAATTTAAGATTTTTAATTTTTTTTATATATTTTATATTAATTTATCATTCTTGTATATTTAGATTTACCTATTTATCGATTTTTCAATGAAATTATGATAATTAAAAAAATGTTTTCTAGTTTAAAATTTTACTAAAATTAAAATAATTACGGAATCTATTTACTACTTCAGTAGCGGTGCTGATGAGTTCTGCGTGGAAGATATACAATTAAATTTGGTGTTACCCATAAGTAACCCGTTAGAGAAACATACTACGTTTCATTAGTGGTTGATTAAAAATTTATAGAGCTTCTTTTCTTATAGATCTGACAAAGATATCATCCTTCGATATATGAACAGAGCCATATTTATAGACTTTTACTTGTTCTGAATAGCAGGATACTTGTGGAAATTTCCGATCATGTGTTAACTACATGATTAATACTTTCACCTTTCTAGTTGGTGTAACTATGAAAGAAAAAATTAAGAAAGACAATCGAGTAAACTCAATCAAAAAGACGAGTAGAGTCTTGTCGTGCTTGGATAGTGTCTCGAGTGTTGTGAATATTAATTACTAAAAGGAGTCTCTTTATATGAAGTGTTTTAGAATTTAAATATAGTCCTAAGTAGTGTGAAATTGAAATATATAAACACGGAGTTGAAATTGAAGTGAAGAGAAATAAGGAGTGGTAATAAGAGAATAAATTCAAGGTGTTAAGTAAAATGAACTGTATGGAAACTATTGACAAGAAAAACTAAGCTCTACATCAAAATAAAGAATGAATTATGGAAATTAAATTGTAGTAGTATGTAATATATTGATATTAATATTCAGATGTCTGAGTTGGTGAATCAGCACCTTTACTCTATTTTATCTGTGGACAGTTTTATGTAAGTCACACTAAGAATAACTGAAAAGGGGGTTTATAATATGATGGATCTGATGTCTTTGTATCTGCCTGTGTTTATCAAATTTCGCTGTATTTTTAGGATGCTGAGAGTTGGATTATTGTACTGTCAATTATATTGAACAGTTTCAGAGTATGTAATATAAGTGTAGTTAATTTGATTTTAAATCTTACGAAATATATTGCACAAGTGAATACGATTTTAAAATAAGTCGTAAAAAAAATTATTAAAACTAAGTATTAACAAGTATGTGTTATAATGTAATTCTATTCATTGTACGAATAATGTAAAAATATTAATATTACAATATGAAAAAACATTTGTTAATACTAATAATAAAAATATTTAAAGACATTAAATAACAATTTGGCAATTCGATACGTGATACGTTATATCGACCACAAATTTGTAGGTAGACCACAACAACATATGTCTTGACTATGTGATCAATAACTAAACATAGCAGCTGTCAGTCAAACTAATACACAAAATATGTCCATAATAGCTAAACAACATCTGTTTTTTTAAAAAAGTACCTTTTGATTTCTTAAAAAACTACATTTTGATCACACTCTATGTGTGATCACACTCACTCTACTCTCCATTTTTTTCATATTATTCTCTCAACCTATTAAGTTACTTACACGCTTTCAATAATAGAATATTAACTAAATATTTAGCATGAATTAAAAAAAAATATTATAAATTTAATTTAGTAAACAATCTGTGCTAAATTCAAACATTACAGTCATTTTCAGGTTAAGAGCCTTTACTATTTATTTTCTGTGTATCTACTTTTCTGTCTATTTTGCATTCATTCAATTTAGCAAAATTGCTACATATTGCATTGACACAACTTTTCACATTTCAAATAGTTTTAATAAGCTGTATGCATAAATTTAAAATAATGAAATAAACTTTGTCCTATATCCTTACAAAACCGCAACTGAAAAAGAGGTTAAAGGTGCTTACATGTGCAGAACTGTTGACAACATAATAACTCTTGCTTGGCTTTTATTTGACATGAAAAAATAAGTTGGCAAAAAATCCAACAAAATTAAACTGCATTAAACAAACTGAAATTAAAATAATAATTACTATTCATACACTGATTCTCCGTTTCCAGCAATTTTTCATGCCGCAGCTGCCTGGCATAACTAAACACCCATTTCTGTGATTTCCATTTACGACGACAAAATTTCCGCAAAATTTACTACTGGATTTATATGACTGCCATTTCACCATTTCGCCATTTCGCATTTTTTTTACAGTAACTGAAAACATATTTTATTAAATTTTATATAAAACATAAAATAAACTGTGCATAAATTTGGCATAAAGTGCAGCACACGTTGCACAAGTGACACAAACTCGTAAAAACGACCAAAAGGTGTGACATTTATGTGTGCAACTGTGCAACTGTGCAACTGTGCAACTGCAACTGCAACTGCTGCAATGACAGTGAAAAGCAAATACGCCCAAATAAAACGAAAAAAGGACTTAGTCCTTTTAGCTGCAGAGGAGTAGCGTAATGTGCTTGTATGTGTAAATAAGTGTGTATTTGCGTTACTTGCCACATGAAATGAAATGTGGTACTCGTTCGTTCGTTCGTTCGTTCTCTTATTTGTGTTTGCGTTTGCGTTTATAGTTGTGTTGGTAGGCGTTTTTTAAGTAGGTGTGTTCATATTGTCAAAAAATAATCTGTTACGAAAAATAAGTGCAGCAAAACAGCACTATTTTGTATACAATATTATGATTTTTTATTGTTCTGTGCATTTGTATTGTTGCATTAAAATCATTTTTTACTGCTTTTAATTTTTTTTTTGCGGTAGTTGCAACATTTTGTTGCAAATTAAAAGCGTTTTATGTTTCATATACTTTTTTTTTAAAGCAGAAATTTAATTAAAATAAATTTTATTTTTTTTGTGTGTGCCATTCAGTTCAAGAGTCTTGTATTTGCACGCGTTTTTGACTTAATTTAAAACTGAGCGCAACGAGGCGTATGAGTAACAAAAACCATTGAATTTGTGTGCATTTAAGGAGCCGCACAAAAAGTGCATTCGGTTTGCTTGGTTTATTAAATTAGCAAAAAAAATCATCACTAAAAATAAAAAAAATTAATAAAACAACAGTGTTTCTCTATATTTATTGCAGTTGTTTAATTAATAAATTAAATTCTCTTAATAGCTAATAAATTTAATAAAAATTAACAGCACAAATCAGTTGCCATTTATTTTAGTTGCGTTTAAATTTAATTGCTTAATTAAAAAAAATTCCCGATAAATAATAAAATACTTTATAAAATAACTGTTTTGTTAATAAAATGAAGTGATGTGGGGAATTGTGCTAATTCGAGTTTGTTTGTGGCTTTTTATTGATTCACAATTCAGCCTAAAAAAATCGATTGGGAATATGGAGTGGTAGACATATTTCCCCAGTGAAAATATAAATAATGAAAAATATTTGTTTATTATTTTTATCAGATGTCCTCATGTTGAACTATTTAAAACGTCAGTAAAAGTTTTTTGTTTCGATATTTTTTTTAATTCAGTGACTGTATAAACTAATATCGATAAAGTTACTGGTATGATTGTTATGATTGTCTTATTTATGTAGTAATGCATATAAACAATGAAATCGATAAATATAAAAGTTAAATAAAATAACAACAAAAAATGCTCAGTAGTATGGAAGAGAATAAATATTTTCATTAACCGAATTTATTGGAATAATATAGTTTTATGTAATAAATAGGTTAGGTTATGTAATACCGTCTATTCTAATGATTCTCCTAGATCTCTTGGCCCATTTTGTCACCGAATAAGAAACTCAGAGGTTTAAAAACTATTGTCAAAGTTTTAAACGCTCTTTAGAAGGAAATCATGGCAAAGATCCTCAAAAAAGAAAACTCCTAAAATACTAACGCTGAGCAAATACAAAGCTGTTGTGAGGGACTTTCATCGTTCTCTTCACAAATGTGACAGGGATAATTAAATGTCAAATTCAAACTTCGAGCATGGTTACTTAATTGGCCATGATCCGTCAACACACATAGCACAAGACTATTATCAGTTAACTTGCATACAAACGAGTGCATTTTATAGAATCTTCCCATCTTTTATATGTAATAAATAACTAAATAAAATTAACTCTACCTTACTACAAACTAAAACGATGTATAGAATTTAGTAGGTCTCCCAGATTATAACAGATATTTTGCACTCACAACTGAACCTAATTCAGGAGATGACGCTTTACTTTTCATATTAAATTTAGAATTTCGTGGAGGATGTCTGATTATCAGAGGAGGTAGCTCTTAGCTTAACATATATCTTCTTGTTCAGGTCAAAGCTGAACACTCACAAAGAACGTGGATAGAAATGTCATTACAATATCATTTCCACTGATAGCTCACTCACGGATAGAGCAGTCAGCAATAGAAGCTTTAAGATTGTGGATAAGATAGTCAGTATCTTTAGAAATTAATGCTACCATATTTTAAATGAAAATATACGGTCAATATTATTATTATGTTGAAGTTGTTTTAAGTGCACTTTAACACTTTTACTCTTTTTTAACTCGAGGTATTTTCAAAACCCCTCTTTAAACCTTGACTAGATTATTATTTATCACTTCATCAGACTAAGCAATAATTGACCTCAGATCTGCATACCTCCCCGAGGAGCCTTCAACCATTTTGAGATATGATAACGCGGTGTTGGTAATTCTGTCAGTTTTCACAAATAATTTCAGGGCTCTATCCTTTATGTATTTTTAGATGGGTTCAATCTTGATGTCCTTGAGGACGTCATTCGTCCTAATGTATCAAATGTAATGTACGATCAATAAATGTGTTCGCTTTAATCTTACGCCTTGAGTTCGAAGGCGTTAAAAAAGCAAGTATACTAGCAAAGAAAGGAGCATGATCTCTACATTCTCTATTCCTTCTGTAAGCTGGAAAGAATAATATTTCCGTACTTATTAGAAGAGGAAAAGGTAAAAATAAAGAAGATTATACTGGAAAATTCACCGATTATATTGTAAATCGCTTGTAGAGGGTTTCTCGTATATTCGTCAATTTTATTATATGCATTTTCTATCGCTTTTTATGT